GCTATGAGATATGGCCACTGGGGAGGGGTTTAGCAAATGGCCAAAAAGCAGTAAAAGTTACATATAAAAATAGTTTCTAACTGTACAAATCAGTAATAATTATATATATATATATATATATATATATATATATCATCTATGTCTCTTAAAACTACATATTTCAGTTTAATGGGTCTTGATTGCCTCAATGTTCAAGAGATATGCATGATCTGATAATAAATATAATCTACTGCACTCAAAAGTTCTTCTTGGAAAATGGCCCCTCTGAGGCAATACAGAGTAATTGTTATGTTCTCAGTGAAGGACAAAAATGGTCTGACACGTCAGCGTAGGGAATATTAGGGAGGACACTGTCGGCCCTGAAACGTTTGTAATAAAAGAACATCACCTCAAAATGTCACAATTAATCATCTCAACAAGGAGAATATTGCCTTCATCTATGAATGCAATTTTCTACAGCAAATGCCCCTCATCTAAATGATAGAGGTAATGAATGAGTTCAGTATCAACTGTCTGTTGGTGTGGGAGCAGATTTGATTTTTATTTCTTTGAACAACATTGTCATTTAAAGCTGTAAACAAGCAAATAGAAATTTGAGTTTAATTCAGAGGTGCACAGCTGTGTTAATCATATTATACATACTCCATTAACAACCTTAATGTGAGCAAACAAGCTGGTGTTAACATGATCCCTTCCCTAATCAGACTATTGTCTGATTCTGGTAATAAGTATTAATGTGTGTACGTTGTTGTGTAGACACATGCAGGCATAAAGCAGTAGGTCATCATTTTGGGAAGTATGCATATTCACTTTGTTGTGGAGGGTTAAACTACAAGGTCAACATCACTCTCATACCTGTTTAATTTAAGGCTACTGCTAGCAGCCAGTTAGCTTAGCTTGGCACAAAAACTGAAAAAGGGAGAATACTTAATAGGACTGGACCACTCAAACCTCTATTCAGCAGGAGTTCTCTGTTTAACGGATCTCTCTATTACGTCCATTGAGCTTTTTCCGGCCTTTATTGGCCTCTATTGCGTATTGTTAAAGCAATTTGACATTTGAAGGGACACGCTTTCTTACTGTGAGTCCGTTGAGAAGATCGATACCCCTTTCATGTCTGTCTCTTAATAAAGCTACAACCAGGAGCTTAGTCATTGTAGGCTAGATAGCGGTAGTTAGCTTAGCATAAAGACTGGGAGCAGGGGGGAACAGCTAACCTGGCTCTGTCTAAAGGTAACAACTGCCTGATAGCACCTCTAAAGCTCACTCATTAACACATTATATCTCATTTCTTTATTCCAAACTATATCTTGGGCAGGGGCAGTGACTTCCTGGAGTCTTGTTGTCTTTGTGAAGTTTCCAGCTGATATTTTCTTTACCTTGGGACAAAGCCAGGGTAACTGTTTCCCTGTTTCCAGTCTTTATGCTACGCTAAGCTAAACTAAGCTAAGCTAATCCCTGTCTCCACATTCATATTTAACATAGAAACTTTAGAAACTAGCAATACCTATCTTTTAATAGTCAGAAGAATATCTCTGCTATCTTTTATGTCATCCACTGACACCATCAGATCTTGGCCTCTATCCGGCACAGTTTGTGCTCATAAGTACACAGTGAGCTTTAATGTAAGGTTATGATAAGAGGGCACACACTGTATCTGTGTGTGGATAAGAGGATGAGTGTGTGCTGTTGTTGTGAGGGTCCGACCTCAGGGAGGTTGTTCTGACTGACGTGCAGGTCTCCACAGAGGCTGATTCACCATGCTGGGAGGTGTCAGGTTTCAGAGATTACTGAACCATGGGTGAAGCCCCCTGGCGTGACATTCATAAGTGTGCTTGCAAACACACAGAGACAAGCACATACACACATTTCCTTTTTGTTGTTTTATACATGTAGAGATTTGTTAGTTTTGTTTTTTTTATATCCGGCTGTTTCGCTGTTGGGCTGTCTGTCTCAGTCATCTGTCCGTCTCCCACACACACATAAAACCACATACTTAGTGCCCAGCAGGCCATGCAGGCTCAGTGGCCACTCATAGTGGTCTTAGAATAAATTGAAAATGCAGCCTAAAAGGGTAAAGTCTCAGTGGCAATCAGCCAAGCTTGGCCATTGAGACTGAGAGCCAAGAACTCTCTTGAGTCTTTGCAGAAGATGTAAACTGAATTTTACTTGTATACAGCTAAGAGGGGGTCTGACGGCTGGTGAAGAAAAGTAGGTAAACACTAGGCTGGAGGTGTTTAAGATTCTGTAATAACTGGCAGCAGCCTGGGATCAGACGTGTAACTAAATAAACACAGACAGTGGGAACCAACTCTCTGACACCCAGGCACAAACAAAACAGACAGGGAGACCTGAGCAACTTTAATTAAATTTTGATCTTTCAGATGTACAGAGAAGAAGAACAAGCAAGAGAGACAAATCCCCTCTAAGGATACATGGACAGATACACACTCACACAATTAAACAAACACACACTACATTCATTTTCACAAATTTACCACAGGTGCCAATTTACAGACACAATGTTTCTAATATCACTTGGCCAATTACACACATAATAATGATTCTTAGTTCAAACAGCAACATAATGAGCTCCACAGTAGCACAAACTAATATGTTTCAGGCCTGGATAATCATGCCATCCAGCCTTTATGCCCATCTGCTGGCAGTTTCATTAAAGTTATAATCCTTCAGTTGATTTGACGACACCTGTGGTTACTATAGTAACAGTAAGAGTGATTTGATACTACAGGTAGCAGCATTCTGGGGGTAGCAAAGAGTCTTTGAGCAGCTACTTTATCAAAAATGCACCTAACAGGTGTGTCTGTCCTCTGTATTGTGCATGCTGAATATTGGCTGACTGGGGAACTTGATGGAACTGAGCCAGCCTTAAATAAATGTGTTTCACCTATGTGTTTTTTCTGCTATAAGACAAATCAAAATGTCTCCAGTGAAAAGGCCTATTGGCTGCACGACTTAGGTTCGTCTTATTAAATGGGATGAATACTTCAGCAAACAGGTCCTGTATTTGTTATTAACTTAGATCACTTAATTTAGTCACATTGAATGCTATTTCAGTCCTGTTAAACCATAAAACATTAAAAATAGGTGTAATGTTTTATACAGTAGACACTGCAGTGTGGACCGTGATAATATATTAAGAGTTATTAGACCAAGGCCGAACTTTTTCTCTTGGAGGGTGGAAACTGAAACCTAATGGTGCATCACAGGCCAAAAGCAAACATCTTTGTATTGATTAGATTCAAAATTGTATAAGGAGTGCAAGTTCCCTTAATTGATTCCTGCGCAGTGTCAAATTTTTACCTCATAAAAGCTGCATAAACAGTGATTTATATTCATTTTTAATAGATTTTTGCAAGAAACATCTGGCAGGCTACCTGAAACTGCTTCAGGCAGCAATGTTAAAGACTGACTTTATGGGCTAGGTTATTCGGCTACTGGGAAAAATTAAGACGTATCAGCAAGAAAAACTATCATTTACAGCAAGTGGTCTCTTAAGATTACAGACCATGACAAAGAATGTAAAATTGCATTAAAGCTGTTCTCCTTTCTATGAGGATGAAAGTTATTTCACTCATGGAGTATTATGGTTACAGTGCAATCTGGACATAAAAAGTCTGCAGGCTTTGTCATCTGTTTTATTTGCTATATATCACTGGTGTTCACACACACACACACACACACACACACACACACACACACACACACACACACGCATACACTAACACACACACACACACAATGCAGATGATTCACATTCAGTTCCTCTCATCTGAGCCTTACAAGTTTTAATACTCGCTCTAACTTTACCTGAACTTTACCCTGACCCTACTATATCCACAAAACAATCGGATACAAAAAAAAGGGGGCAAACTCACCTAAATGCACAGTCACAATGCTCCATCTATATAACATCTTGAGTCTTACCATCACAGTGGGGAAAAGAGTGAACAGCAGAAAAAGGAAGGGAGACAGAGAGAGAGAGTCTCCGTGTAGTCAGACTCATAAATCTTTGCCTGTTTTACTCAAGGCTCATTCATTATGAACGACCTGTCCTGTTCATGTTATATTTATAAAAACGAGAAAATGGGACACATCTTTTCACTATATTATCTAAAGACACGTGGATTGCACCCACTGTGTTTTTTTCAGTCACTAATAAGAGCTCTTTGCTCTTGTGTCTTGTGTGATGTCCAAGTTTATGACATCTAAAATAAGGGATTAAAAGACTTCTTGCATCTTTTCAAACTTCCTCTTGTGATCATTTACTTTAAATTGTGCACGTGCACTTCATGCTGCACGTCATGCTGTTACAATTTAATGTTACTGTTTATCTGAGACTGCAAATGAAAGCAGTTTGATTTGTGAGTTTATCTTGGGATACAGGTAACTTTTGTCAGTATCTCACTGCTGAACAGTGCGTGCTGCTACACTGTCACCACAACACCAAACCCCCTAGAGACACATCCATCCACTGCAACCCTAACAATGCTGAGATACAGATAACACTGTCTCTATCCCGCTATCCTGTGAGTGGAGGTGGAAAAATCAATCTTAAATTCATCATGATCACTTAAACGCTGAATTGAAAAGACAGCGCTCGTTAATTAGGTGCAAGAGAGTAATATAAAACTGAAAAGGTGGTTTCTTTAAAGTAGCAATTTGTCGTCAGACTGTACTCCAGCATGTTGGACACAGTACACTGCGCTTTTTATTCCGCTTGCTCCACTCTGTCTGCACCTGCTTGTTTTCATGACTGGAATAAATGTTTCTTAGTTTCTTGTTCCAATTTTTGCAAAGTGACAGAGTGAGCAAAAACTATGATTTCCTCTTAAATCTTTTCCACAGTGATGTTGCTAAAAGTCCAGCCATGTCACTGATGCATAAATAAACCCTTAAAAGCCTGAAAGTCTCGAATCACCCAATCCACCTCCTCTTCCTCCCCCGTTTGCCTCAGTTCTTCTCTTCCTCCTCCTCACCTGTTCAGCTGCCTCTGGGTCCAGGTGGGTGTCCAGTAGGGGAACGGTGAACTGTATCTTCCTGGGGCTCCCAGTTTCCATTGTGGCTCTGTCTGTCAAAGAGGAGGAAAGGACGAAGAGGAGGAGGAGGGGATGATCCGAGGAAGGAGAATCCGTAGGAGAAAAGGAGGGTGAAGAGCTCAGTGAGGGTGGCTGAGACAGAAAATAAGTGTGCTCCAGCTTAGGAAAAACTAAGATTGTAATATATTTTCTGTCTGACTATTTTCTGTTCTTTAATTGTATCCTTTAACACACTTTTCCCTGATTACCTAGCTTTGATTGCTACCTTAATTCAATTCTGCTGTATTTTTTTCTACCCTCAGCACCTGCTGGTGTCTCTACTCCGGCTTCACTCTCCTTCCTTTCTGTCTCCCCCAGCTCTCAGCACTGAGGCAAGGGCATTCTTTGCTAGGAACACCTCTCCTTCGCTCTCATTCGCTGTGCCTGACTCCCTTTCACGCAAGTCCCACCCTCTTGTCACATTTCTTTCTGTCTGTATTGGACGTCTGAGATCAGGGCTGTTCTGCAGCAGCCCCTGAACAGACGGGAGAGAGAGGATGACAAAGACATACCCTCCTTTTATCTATTGGATGGGGAGGAAAGATGCAAGATCACTGGATTTTAAAAAAAAAATCACCTTCCTACATGTGCTTAAATATAACCTACATGGTATTTCAAATAAATAAGAGCCTCGCTCAGAATGAGTCATATAAACACTTATTCTCTCTCTTGTATCTAAGTGTATAGATACAAGATATGTACATACATCTCTAACCTATTTAAACAGATATTTTTCAAATGACAATTTGGAGCCCAAACTGCAGATAAAGCCATGCAATTATTATCTGAGCTTTCTTTATATCTGACGAAGCTTGTCCTCGCTGCTGCCTGGCCAGCACAGTCTTTATTGATCGCCTCTTAGCCTGAGTGTCCCTACATCACACGTCTGCTGGGCCTCCGATACCTGACACCAGCCAAGGAGAATACAACTCCTGTGTCGTTTCAGATTTGCAGTACATTTTGGGGAGTAATAAACCAGGCAATTACATCCTCAGAAATATGATCGTTTTGTAAGCTACCTTGTAACTTCACATTTTACATTTTCACTGGAAACCCCATTAAAATTATATTTGAATTTAACATAATTTAATTCAAATGCTAGAAGCTCCTCTTGGAAATTAAGGAACAGATGTTTTCTCCAGACACTGACTGGTAGCTTACAGCAAGAGATGATGTCTTCTCATTTAGACTGGTACGCACTATGACTGTAAGCAATAAACATTTTCTAAGACATTCTGCCTTATTATACTAGTTTATAGCTGAGATATACACGAAATATGAGTACAGACCAAGGGAAGGGGCTGTGCCTCCTCCAACAACAAAGATCCCCCAGCTGGAATCAAACCAGGAACACTGTGACCATATGGCGTGAGCCCCAGACCACTTGTCCACAGGGATGTCTCTAAATGTGTGTATTTTAAGTCAAATGGCAGTCATCATTTATCCATTTTATAGTAAATGGATAGATGGGAAGACCTGCAGTAAGCTGAATAAAGAAGTAAATCCTCTGACCTGAAGAACTTTATGAATAAATGAAAACAACATCAGAATCCTTTTTCTTCTTTTTACCTCGGCCATTATGTTGTTATGTTGGAACTACACACAAACTGTCCTCACATAAAAGACACATTTTCATTTTCTTGTAGCTCAGAGTGAAAGAGTGATAATAAAACATTGTCACACTGTAATAACAGCTTTTCCCAAATTACGTCTTTGTCATCAAAGTAGAGAGGTTTGTTAATAAGACACCACATGCTGTGTGTGTGTGTGTGTGTGTGTGTGTGTGTGTGTGTGTGTGAGAGAGAGAGAGAGAGAGAGAGAGAGAGAGAGAGGACTGTAAATTCTCCTCTATACCACTTCTGATGTTTACAGTGACTGAAGGGAAACCGAAGGGAAAACACTAGTAAAATTATACAGTCTTTGTTATCATTTAATACCAGCATAGCGTTTGTGTCTCTGGTTGAGTTTCAAAGAAAAAAGCCCACAGCCATGCATTCAGTCTCCTACAGACTAATACAATACTGCATCAATACTTCATTTAAAAGCCAAGCCACAATCTTCTCTGTTATTCTACTAAAGTATTAATTATTGTAAGTCATAGAGAGAGGACAATAAAAAGCCACTAACAGACCTAAATGCTACTTGGAATCATCAAACCAACCCTCCCACATACATGCATCTTCAATACCAACTGCCTTAATTTATCCAGCCAATTATCTCTTACAATAGATGACAGTGAGCTGCATAATATAAGGTTGTGGTCAGCAAACCTTTCCATCGCTCACTTAAAGGACGGGTGTTTTTGCATGTTTTACATGCTTAACTACAAATTACATACACTTGTGAAATATTTTTCCAATGCGTGCTTTACAATTTAAAAAAGTTGATTGTCATTAGTTTCCAATTATTTCCATATGGAAGAAAATTCTACACCACTCAGCCATAACATTATGACCACTGACTGGTGAAGTAAATAACACTGATTAGTTTGTTATCATGGCACCTGTCAGTGGGTGGGATATATTAGGTAGCAAGTGAACATTTTGTCCTCAAAGTTGATGTATTAGAAGCAGGAAAAATGTGCAGCGTGAGGATTTGAGCGACTTTAACAAGAGGCAAATTGTGCTGGCTAGACGACTGAATCAGAGCATCTCCAAAACTGCAGCTCTAGTAGGGTGTTCCCGGTCTGCAGTGGTCAGTAACTATCAAAAGTGGTCCAAGGAAGGAAAAGCGGTGAACCTGAGACAGGGTCATGGTCCAAGGAAGCCTCTTCAAGGCTCATTGAGTGGGCAGTGAAGGCTGGCCCATGTGGTCCGATCCAACAGAGCAGCTAGTTGAGCTCACATTGCTGAAAAGGTTAATGCTGGTTCTGATAGAAAGGAGTCAGAACACACAGTGCATCACAGTTTGTATGGGGCTGCACAACATGGTCCCAGGTGGGTATAATGTTATGGCTAATCGGTGCAACATGATAAAAAAAACAAGGTTTACTTCCATCAAGAAAAGTCCAAATCATTTAAAATTATTTGTTTTTTGCTCACCGACTGGAGTGCAGTGCAATCAGTTCTGCCACCAATGACTGGAAACTATATCTCTGAAAAATACTCAAAATAATCTTAAAGGTTCGATATGTAACTTTCAGAAAACTGTGACGCCAGTGGCCATTAAGTGAACTGCAGTCAGCGTCCAGTTGCTCATCATCGAGTGTGAAAGGTAAACTGCTAGATTGTAGACTGAAGACTGACCCTACAACTTTTATTATTTTATTCAATTTGTACTATTCAATTTGATTGTTGTATATGCAGACAGGGGCAATATTCCTGGATATGTTGTTGTCAATGGGTGCTGCAGTGTTATTTTAAATTGTAATAGTATGTAGTGGAATGCACTGCACAGTTTTCCCCACCAGGTAGTGCCTGTGAGTGAGCACCAAGTCTTAGATTTAGAAGAAGAACTACTCATCCTCTATTGTTTCATTGCTGTCACTAATTGTGGCCGGAAGATGTTTAAGGCAGCAGAGAGACATGTGCAGTCAAATGTGAAAGTACACTGCTTTTTTTAGTGAAAGACAAAAATAAAAACCAAGCGTCTGTTTGTGTCTCAGGCGGCAACACAAGCATCATCCTTGCATCATCAAAAGTAAAAAACTCTAGACTGAATGCTGAAAAATAAATTAAAATCATATTTAGAATAACATCACAATCTGTAAAGTTCCTACATTTCATGTGGACCATTGACTTCATGTTACTAACTAGCTTGCCATTTACAAGTCACCAGCCAACACCAACAAAGCAACCAATGTCAGACCCACACCAGCTGAGCTTAGGCTACATAGCTGGATGCGCCTGCCTTACATCGTTCTCGACTAGAAAGCAATCGTTAATCGTTACATCATGTACTGTTGGCTGTTTGTAAGTTTGTGTCATAGCTCATGTTAGCTGGTAATTGGTAAGTAATTTAAAACCGCTAGCCAATTAATTCAATGTAGCCTATTTAATTTGCTACTGATCACGTCAATGTTAGAGAGCCACATTATCACAATGAAATGACTTTGGACTCCGTGTTCTGGTGGGTACCGGTCGTTTGTTGACATGAGCGGACTCCGATTATCAGCTGACGTTAGCTGCTGCACAGTGTTGATAACGTAGGAAAGCGGACAGAGAACGCACACGTCACATCCTTTGGATTTGATGGATGCACACAGTCCACAGGCAACAAAGAAAGTTGGGGAAGGTCTTATTTTTTAAGTTACATCACAACCTGTTTACACATTGGCAATATCAAGTGAATAATACATAAAAATGAAATATAAAATGCTTGAGATTCTTAGATATGGATCCTTTAAACACAGTAGCATGGCTTGCAAAATGGTTAGAAGTAAAGTAAAATCTCTTTTTAGTCATGCAGGAGAATTCACATCCCTGATTTTTCCCAGTGACATTGACATTGCTTTTTTTTAAACAAGATCCTTCACTCACCCTGTAGCCATTAAAGCCTGTTGTGTGTGACAAATTGTGCTGTGTCATGGCCATGGCTGGTTATAGCTGAGACCTCCCTCTCTGCAGTTCAAGATGGCTGCCTTCCAAGATGATGACCATGGGGGAAAAAGGGAGGGGGGAGGCTTGAGGGAAGGTCAGCAAGCTGTAGATACAGAAGGACTAGGTATCTGAAAGGTAACTGTAGTTCATATATTTTTCAGTTATTACATATAGTAGGTGGCAATTAACAGTCTCTCTCCATACTAGTCTGTCTTATCTCTCTTTCTCTCTCTCTCTCTCTCTCTCGCTGTCTGTTATAATTGCACACACAGACTTTTTGCCTGAGACCCCCTGCAGATTCATGAAATTCAGATGAGTTGAGTCTTTCTTTAATTCAGCTGTCAGATGAGAGGCTACAACTGTGTGGACAGCAACACCCACGCCCTGATTTCTCTCTCTGTCTTATCTTTTAGTCTCAACATGTTTCTCGTTAGCTCATATTTATTTCTCAAACCCTCATTGTCATTGCCCTTGTTGCTGCATGTTTCATTGTGCTGATTTAAGTGTGCACCTAGTGCGCACTCAGACATCCTGGAGGGGACTCCCTCCTTTAATGTTTTAGCTGACAGCATTTTTCTCTAAAACGATTACTGAGAGTTTCCCTTGTCTTTACTGAGGTTGGTGAGGTAGGCAGTTTAGGCAGACCTGTATTTCTTCAAGCTTTTTTGTTTGTGTTTTCTGAATGACTGCTAAGTAGTTCTGTCTAATTAGGTTTAGGTTTACCTTAAAGGTCTCTTTAAATATTTTCTTTCTGTAAAACCAGAAATACTGAAAACATTGCATATAAAGCATAAATCTTTGTGAAGGTGTCACTTTGTGCTCTGGGAATGGAATGTCCCACTATATACTTTTACTTACGTATGTTATCAATGCAAGACTTTTACTTGTACCAGAGTGTTTTTTGCGGTTACTTCTCCAGCAAAAGCACAGTAATGCATTTACGAATAGATGGTGCAATCCTGTTTAGGTTGCTGTTGGATGAAGCTAGCCTCATATTGTATATAGAAATATTATCATAATTTAATTTGAATTCTGTGTACCTTGTTTTCACTTTCATTTCTGTATATATATATATATATATATATATATATATATATATATATATATTCATTCTACATGATGAATTGCTGAAGAAAAACAATAGTTTGTGTTAGTGTTCAGTGTTTAATACTGATTATGTAAGAGAGAGAACTAAAGAATTTATGCTCCGCTGTATCTGTGACAAACATGTTGCAACAATGCACCTTGATTAAACCTTAAATGGTAAAAAACAAACCACACAGATGCAGGTTAGTAGTGACTTAAGTGAAAAATCAAGAGAGTCATCTGTCAATAGTCTCCAATCAGCCCTATTCTTCATTTAGTCTTCTGGGCTCATAAAGAGGTATGGGAGGTCAGGCTAATAAAAAACTCTTCCTAAGAGGGATTGACGTGCTTTCCTTCCCAGTAATTGGCTGCGGAAACCGTGAAAGCATAGAGTAATTGCATGTTGCTGTGTTTTAATTAGTGCTGAGGCTTACTGCACACTGCTTCCCCAGGTGGCCTGTAAATTCACCACACACAAAACCAAACAGCCACAGTCTGTAGAGAAGAGCTGTGCATCACTTTACATTACACAGATGAGTGCTGGATTAAACATTTTCCATCCACGTCCTTTAAAACCTAATCCTGCACATGGTTGTCTGCGCGTTGTAGAGACAAAAGTGAAGTCATAAAATGTACAGTGATATATTTTTCTAAACAAAATATTTGTATATATGTTGCATACGTTGCAGTACATATCTTTGCTTGTGTGTCCTTCACTTTACGTTCCTCCTCAGGATGTCTGAGCGGGCCAGTTAAAGTAAATTAATGTAGTGGGAAAACGACCAGAGTAATTATGTGCTTGTCTGTGGTCTAGCAGAAGCTGTAGACATTGTCAGCGTTTAAATGATGAGACAATTTCTTGTGACTATATTTTCATTTTTTTTGCATAGCCAACAAATATTGCTCTATGCCATCTTTGTAATCAGTTGTGGGGAAATGTATTACCTACAATCACAAGTAAACAGCTGTTGTTAAGCCACAAAATTTACCAAATCCAAATAAATTGGAAAACTGACAAGATACTGACTGCAGACTTGCAGTTATTTTTAAACTACATTTTGACAATGTGTAAAATCACAGTAAATCTCATAATATCAAAGATAATGGTAAACGTGATTACTATCCGAATTAGGGATGCTACTGAAATTGATTAGTTTATAAGATGATTATCAAGGAGGATTTATAATTACCAAATACTTATTTTTAAATTAACTCTTTTGGACAATGCAAAGCATTTGGAAACATCACCTAGGGTTTTGAGAAGTTGTGATGGCCATTTTTCACTACTTTCTGACATTTTATGGACGAAAAAAACAAAAAATTTAAATAATGACACAAATAATGATAAATACTCACTAGTTGCAGCCGTAGTCCGTAGGCCGCGTTTTAAAAGAATGTTTATTCAAATCACATTTTTTATTATGCAGAAGTTAAAGCTCAGAAAAAGAGAGAGATTTAAAATTATATCAGCATCTGCATTTGTAGAAGGGGTGTAGGAAAATATAAAAAGTTATATTTTGTTCTGTTATAGTCTATCAATTCTCACAATCAATTCAAACATTGTATACATTTTTTGTTTAACCACTAGATGGCAGAGTTGTGAACAAAGTGCTTATCCCACTGTTGCGTAATATTAAACTAACTCAGATTTTATGCATATGGTGGTGTTTTCTTTATACTATGACAGGTTTTTTTTAATCGCAATATATCACCTTACTTACAGTATAGCAATATATTGCATTATATTGAATTACACCCCCGTATCATTCTATATATATCGTGAGATTCTTGTCAATAACCAGCCCTAATTTGTAGAATTCAGTACTGTAATTCCAGCTAACACCCTTTCTGAAATCCTGATCTTTGTACATTGATCATTTTGAACACATACACATGAGTTTATCTTGTCCAAGTTCAAAGCACTTTTATTTGACCAGAGAACAGAAGAAAAATGTAAAATGTAGCCTTCAATTTACAGCAAACACATCTGGTCCTGAATAACATTCCAGTCAGGACAAATTAGGTCTGCTCAGAAAACTGTAATCAGCATTCGTCAACATGCTTTGTAGTGACGGAAATCAGAAACAAAACCCCAAAAATTGTCTCATGTCAGCTTTAACTAAATGTTTGGTGTCAAGTAAGGCCTAATATACTGGGACAATGTTGAAAAAAAACATGCTTTTATAATTCAGATTTATTCATTCAAATTCTGTCTCTCCACCGATGGCCGCTGCTTGGCCCTGTGCCAGGACAGTGGTGTGTGGATCTTCCTGCCGGATTACTTCTTGCCGAATCTCTGGGGTACAGCCATACTCCAGATCTGACCGGGGGCAGCCTCCCAGTCACGGGAATGTATCTGATCCTCTGACACTACCTGCCCTCTGGAGCCGCGACCAAACCTGTGAGGGAGGAGAAACAGAGGAACTGACGCAATTCAAAGTAATATACGGTTTAAATGAAGTCCTTTTTAATATATCTGGATTTAGTGGATCTTAGTAGGAACAACCACACAAAACCATGTTTTTGATGAGGCCTAAACATGGACAAATACAATTCACAAGCTGCAAATACAAAAGAATCATTTTGTTCTTCCATCAATCAAAAACAATCTCATATAATATATATGGTACTTTTCATTCTGAAACGTAGATATGGAAATGGAAAATGGTTGCAAATGCGTAAATGGAGTTTTGTTTGATCTACATTCCTTATTCCTTATTCACAGCAGCCATTTTGACAGGAAATAGTAGGGTAAACACAGGTGTTACAAATGATACTAATTAAGCAGACCAGAGCTTTTCCAGTGAGCCAACATACATAATAGCAGCACTCTGACTCTCTTTTACCTGAATGGAACAGAACCTTAATTAGTATCATTGGTAACAGCTGCGTTTACCCTACAATTTCATGACAATGCAGTGAAAAAGGCCTATTAGTAGATGATTAGTCAGTCGACAATTTGGATGATCTTTGAGTTGTCTCTGTTGATTTAATTGTTGAACTGTTGATTAAATTGTTGAACTGTTGATTTAATTGTTGAATTAACATTTTCAGCCTATTCTTGTCTTACATTATAGTAAACTGAATATCTTTGGCTTTTGGACTGTTGGTCTGACATAACAATACGTTTGATGACATCACCTATAGCTCTAGGAAACTGGGCTGGCCATTTGTCAGTTTTCTTTTATGACAAAATGATTATTTGAGAAAATAATCTGCAAAGAATGAAAATAATTAGCTAGTTAGTTGCAGCCATATATCTGCATGGCTCTTGTGCTACACTGATCATTTCAGAAATCAGAGTTATTGAGAGTTAAAGAATTGTAAGAGTCATATATGATGTTTTTGTTTTTCTGAAAATCCTTATGTGACCCTAACATGGCAATGGGCTATGCAACAGGTGTTGATATTTTTTCAGGTAACTTATTTCTTGTGTGCTTATTTTTATGTGCAGCCTACTGTATGTGTGTGATAAATACAGGCTCTGTAATGGCACTGACCTCTGTGGCTGATGGAGGACAGAGTTCCTGGTTTCTCTCTGAGATCCGAGCAGCAGAGCTCTCAGCACTGCGGTCAGCAAACGATCATCAATGCTGTTATCTATGTTTTCACTCTCCTAGAGTACAGCAGCATACACACAAACAAATGCAAAGCCTAGTATCAAAAAGTTTGTATTTAGTTTTTGTACAGAAACCCCACAAAAATATCTTGAGCCATAACTGCATTCAATTTTGGGTTGCAACACAAACCCCAGGGGCTGTCGCTCCAGTCAGTCGGCCCTGCTGTGGCGAGGCACCTTGAGATATAGATGGCAGTGGACAAAGGCAAATAAATGCACCTCATGTGCACCCAAATATTCATCCACCCTTATCTTTATGCAAAATGTAACCCAGATCTGTCTGTCTCTGCACGCCACAAGGAAAACGTTATATTTTTGACTCGTGATCTGAATCCTCCTCCATCCTGATCTGACTGTCTGTTGACCCCGGAATACATTACAGTGTATTTCACACTCTTGCGTGAAGAGGAGCACTATCTGAAACCTCATTTAGCTTGTCTCACTTTATAAAAGGGCTCAAATCCAATTTACATACTTCATCACATGGAGTAACAGACTTCTCTGAAAATGTTGGCATGACTTCTGGTTGTGCACAGAATTTTTCATTTAGTCTAATGTGGCACACATTAGCACAGACAGTCCATATTTAAATCCCGCCTAGAGACAGACAGTATATTTTAACACATTAGCATGTGTGCCTCAGATACGTTTCAAAATAGGATTTTTATTTTCAGATGCCAAAATTATTATTGGCAATTTGTATGTAACATTAATTATATAGCAAAAAACACACAAATGGTGTAATTAAAAAAGTATATTTCCTTGTCACAGCTACAGATAAATCAGAGAGTTAAGGTTTGATAATTCACTACTCAAAATTAAAGATTTGCAATTCAAGTTTGTGCATGGTTTGTTGTCTCACCAGCCCCAGCAAGTGGTCGGCCATGTTCTCCTCTGAGCCTGGCAGGATGTCATTTTTGTCCAGACTGCCTTGGATATGAAGAGCTCGACTGACGCCAGCCATCGCCATAACCAGACCCAGAAGAGTCACCACCGCAGCTGTGTCCATGGTCTCAAACTGCAGAGGAGGTCAGATGAATGCTGATGACAAAGGCAAATGAAGATTTCGGTTGTCCGATTAAACACTTGTTGACTTCTGCTCCTGCAAAACAGAGGAAGGACTCGTCCTGCTCGGGGTTAAGTGTCCTCTTTGTGCGGTGTCCTGACTAACTTCAGTGGTGGCAACATCCTTGCCTGGTCTTTTATACACCTCACGGTCACTGGCTGGAAGCCCCTGGGAGAGCTGGAGAAGGATGCTACTGTACAAAGGGGAACTGGGGACAGGATGGAAGAAGAACCATCCACTAATATGAGATTTAACTAGGGCCATTTAGCAGGATCAGGGCATTAGTGATGACTGAGCACCAGAGTGCGTTATTATGTGGCCCCAGGGTAGTGCAACACAACTCTCTCAGTTATTAAACAGATAAATCCCTGCAAATGGACTCTGATCCACCAGTCCCTGTTGTCCAGTAGTCGGCACCACATGTACAAACAGACAATGCGCGAAAACACTCATTACCAACTTAATCATTCACCAAAATTTAACAGATTAGACCGGACAACTTAAGTGATCTAAGACAAGAAAGTAATGGACCTAAAACACCTCTTTCAAAGCAGAAAAACAAAGTAGACGCAAAAGAAGAAAAAAACACGAGTGACACATTTTCTGCTTATTAGTTTTTTAATGTTTTGCTCCAGAGCTAATGTTTCTAAACTAGAGAACATATCCACAACATCATCTCACACCTCAAGGTCTACAATAATATTACTGATTCATTTATCAGTGAAGGATTAACCTCACTCAGAGTTTGTATCTTAATGGTATCTCGAATTAATGTTGTAAATCTTTACTTTTTGTCCATTTAAAGGATCATTTTACAAGTGTGGGTTGAATTGCCCAAGATTGTGTTTAAGATAGCATCGATTTTCAAGTAAAAGGTTCCATTATTACTTACTACTGAAATTCATTATCAGGTGGATATCAAAGTTTCACTGAAAATGCGTCACACATGCTCTCGCCAAATGATTACTGGCACAAATGTAAAGCACACTATGGTGCAATAGTAACATTATGGATCATGGAAACCTTTGCTTAAGCAGTAAAGAGACGGTTTTCTGAGTGTTTTTCTTAACATGCTGATGAAGGCATGTCAGACAGAAGCTTCTCCCAAAGGAAAATGTCTTAGAATAAAACCCCTTCATTTGTTAAATGTCAGCTTCCTTCATTTTGTTCATTTCAAACGAAGACAACTATAGCCTTGATTTGTGACAGTGGCTTTATTAGTGCCATATGTGTTCAATTTGTTTCTGTCTTTGGCTCAGAGTGTGTGTGTGTGTGTGTGTGTGTGTGTGTGTGTGTGTGTGTGTGTGTGTGTGTGTGTAATAATTAGTCACTTCCCAATACTAGATGAGACATAAACAGATTTGGCTCATCAAAGTGCCTAATGGATGACAATCCGCTTAAACTGCAACACACACACACACACACACACACACACACACACACACACACACACACACACACACACACACTCACTTCATAGTCTAACTGACTCTGTTTAACTGCCATGGCAACCAGGATGACATCTGAAGGATTCTGAGGGGAATTAGTTTTCATTTCTATAATAAGATTGGAAGCTTTTGGATTAGAGAAACATCTAATTCACTCACTCACACGTTGTGCTGTTTTCTTTAATGTTTACATACAATATACACTTAGTGGTCACTTTATTAGGTACACCTGTACAGTCTAATGCAACTACCGTACCATAAAGTCTACTCTTATGAGGATCAGTTAGTGATGTGTTCTACTGGACTGCATTCAATTTCAGAGGTGTTTCTAATATTTTGCCCCTCTCAAGAATATAGATATGGAGGACAAAAAAATAGAAACACTCACAGCTCACTAATCAACACGTTGTATCTTGTATCTTGTTTGTTTAATCCGTACAGAAACCAAAAGCCAAAATGTTGTTTTTACTCTAAGCTGTCCGGCTCCTGGCTGAAGATTCATATTGAGCAAACAGATATGAGAGTGGTATAAATCCTCTCGTATAACTTATTAATAAAATGTTGAATTATTCCTTTAATCTTACATCATAATTAAAGCTGGAGTACGGGACTTATAAATAAGTACTATATAAATGAACGCCTATCAAGGCCAGATAAATCTCTTTGTATTTTGTGGTATATTCCCGCGCTGGCACACTCAACTAGCAATGATTGGGACCAACTAGCAACTTTTTAATGCCTTTATTTGATAGTATAGGTGAAAACACAACGGGGGGGACGACATGCAGCTGCAGCTTGGAACCGAACCCGGGCCGCTGCAATAAGACTCCATGGGGAACGGGCTCTACCAGGTGAGCAACCATGTGCCCCTAGCCTGGGACTTTCCAGGGCAATGAGTGTGATAAAGTCATAAGCATACGTCGACAGTGTTTAATTACTCTCACTGCTAGAAAGGGGAAGATGAGTACTGTAAGAGTAAGCAACATTTTCTGCATTTATTTCTGATTATTCTATCAGAGTGGAGTGAACACATTAGGGTTTTACATTCATCCCTTTTTACATACAAATTTAAGCGCTACCTAAAATATTGTCACAGTATCAATATCAAGGTACTAAGTGAAAAATATTTTGATACAGTAAATATTGCACAGCTCTTCTTGTATGTCTTACCACCTGAATATACATCTGAACTTAATGCTGGGGGCTCTGAAACCTGACCACACTAATAAACAGGTACATAAGAGGTTCATATTCTTCCATTGTACAGCTGACAAATATAATAATTTCTATCTACCCTCCTCTGATCTGGAGAAGGTCATCTATGCTTATATCCAATCTTTTTTATACTTTGCTGCAACCCTCATGCAGAGCCAAGCGTCTCTCTCTCACACACACCGTTCAGCTGTATGGATTTTAACTGCACTTCAAGGAAAAGACCATGTATGACCAATTTAATCATCAGTTAGAAGAGGAAATGAGCTGAGCATTTAAAGCTCGGGTGAGTCTGACCTTGAGCTATATATGGCTGACCTTTATGAACCAGAGGACAGCCTGCATATCCTCATGATGATAATGATGATGATTGTTAATATTATATGACAAGACCACAATCAGTTTCTCTCTTCACTTGTTATTGTTTCATTTTAGTTACACACACAAACACAAGATCTACATATTGTATTCCACAGAAACGTATAATACCTTTATTTCTTCTGTGTTCTCCAAGAGGATGTACATTGAAAAGCAAAGGTTGTGTTAGATGCACAAAATCCTTTTCTTTTTTATTCCACTAATCTGTGTCCTTGCTGTGGCAATATGTCTCTCCTTGTGTTTACAAATTCAAGTCACACTGCAAGGTTGTGGGCCACATTACCATGAAAATAAGGAAGAAATTAATGCAAATGTATTCCATACAAGTGCTGTTACCTTGTAATTGTTTTTGTTCCATACTTAAAATGCCAATATTTGCATACTATAGCAACATTAATTTATTGTGTGTGTCACATAGACAAATCACAAATATGACAGAGACAATTGGGGTATTACAGTTTTCAGACTTTTGCCTCCATCTGGTGTTTTCTGATTGAACTGCATGTTTATCCAATCAAATCTGGCTAAAATTCAACTGAGAATGACACGACTTAACGTTATCTGATGGGTTTATTTTGTTTCCTTTTATTTTATTTACAATGTTAAAACAGTGCAGCCAAACATAAAATAAATAAAACACTGAGTCATGAAAAAAAAAAAAAATGGGGGGAACGTAAGAACAGCAACAGAACTTCATGCAGCTAATACAAGATTGTCCAGCAATACCTAAAAAACAAGCTGACTCTTCATGCTTTACAGCCACATCATCGACCCAAATTACATCCAAAGAAAGTTTGTCTGGTTCCTTGTCGGCATATTCTGCTCTTCTAGAATCTCTCCTCTCTTTGTGTTGTTTAAGCGTTGGAGGGATGTTTATTTATCCACCGGTGTCCAACAGATGCTTCAGGGCAGCCTGATCTAATTAAACAAAGTTGCCTTCTGTTCTTTACCGGCAGCTCACAATCTGCCACTTTCACCATAAGGCACTTGTTAGAAATGTCAGTACCGAAATTAAAGTACATTACCAGGAACAGTTCGACACGCAGGTTAATACAACGCAACTAAAATGTTCTGAAAATTATTTATACAAAGACGATGATGTCTCCTGGTAAAATATTTTTACATCTCAGTAAAAAAATAAAGGTGGTGTTGCTTGAAAACCTCATAATTTAGATTTATCTAATTCAGTCATACATGTAGGTGTTAATATGAAACCATTGTTTCACACATTATCATTTTATACAGTGGGACAATGTATCCCCTTACAAGCCTGGACATCCATCTAGTGTTTGGTTCAGAAATTTAAATGCTTACACTGCAAATGGGCTGACCATATTTTAAATATTGCTTGGCTTTTCGAACATATTTGGTTTTCATGCAATAACAGGCTGTGGTTTTGTTGTTCTTATTCAAGTTCACTCAGGCAATAAACTATTGATGTACAGGACATTTGACTGATATATTAACAACAAAATCACAAAGGAACTGACACAGAAAGTCTCCTCCTTTATAGAAGGCTTTTTTTTCCTTGAATAAAGATATACAAAAAACCATGAGGTGAACTTCTTGAATGGCTTTTTAAGAGCAATCAGCAAGCCCAGACAACAACACATTCAGTGTTCTGCAACATTTAACTTTACTGATATCTTACAAACTGACATTTCCCCAACGTTTACCAGTGCTGACTAAAAGAAAATTCTAAAACATCATTTATATATATAAAAAAACATTTTTTCATTGCCCATATCAGTCGTCAGTCTTACAGTAGTTAAGGCAAAAGTAGTCGCGGGCAGTGGCTTCTTCATCAACAATGTCCAGTCTGTATGTGTCTAATATTATACTGTATGTTTGTGCATTCATGCATGTCTTTGAGTTGTGATTTTCTGTCCTCCTTTGTTCTGCCAGTCAGAACTGACAGTGAAGTCCATGTAAGCATCAGCGCTCCTTCTGCATCCTGTAAAGCATATTGAGCGGCTATACTGGTTCTAATATTGTTTCTGGCCATCAGCATTTACTGTAAAACACTGATATAGATGCACAGTGTAAATAGACTATCCAAGGCCAGCCATCAGCGTG